GCCGAGGTGGGCGGATCGTTTGAGCTCAGGAGTTCGAAACCAGCCTGAGCAAGAGCGAGACCCCGTCTCTACTAAAAATAGAAAGAAATTAGCTGGACAACTAAAAATATAAAAAAAATTAGCCGGGCATGGTGGCGCATGCCTGTAGTCCCAGCTACTCGGGAGGCTGAGGCAGGAGGATCGCTTGAGCCCAGGAGTTTGAGGTCGCTGTGAGCTAGGCTGATGCCACAGCACTCTAGCCCGGGCAATAGAGTGAGACTGTCTCAAAAAAACCCCCAAAAAACAAAAATACAAATGAATGTGTAACACCACATTAAAGATTCTGAAGTCCTGTTAAAAAAAAAAAAACGAGCTTAATTTTATACAACCTGCTAGTCTCAGGGAGTCCCCTGAGGACCTGGGAGTGAGCTCTTCAGCTTGAATGTGGATGCAGCCGGGCTAGGCTGGGAGCGATTTTCTGCTCCAGGTGACACTTTTCTACCACTCCTTAGGGTCTGGGGTGGCGATCTTCATTCACATTTTTCGGGAAGCAAAATGAGCCCCGGAGCATTCTTTACAGAATTAAGACTTAAATCCAAATCTCCTGGCTCCCTTCCTGGGCGTATTAGTTCCGAATCACCGGGCTTCTCTCTCTTCCCTGCCCTGAATTTTTACCTTAGTGAGTAAGTTGAGAAGAAAGCTGCGATTGCCCCAAAGGTAACTCTGTCCTCGTAAGTACCATAGTCTTTCGGAGTGAAATGAAACCTTCTGCGCTTCGTGAAACCCACGATGCCGTTCGAGTCGGCGCCCCGGGAAGCGGGTTTACAGGGGCGTCGCGCGACAAGGCGTCGGGCTTTCCTACGTAGGGTCATCGCCTTGGGGCCTCGTTCTTTCCTCGTGGTGCCTTGAACCTTGAGGGTCCAGCAGCTCTCCTTTTGCTGTCTCCAGACTCCGGGCAAGGAGGCTGCGGTGGTGAGGGCAGGCGGCAGCTGGCCTGAGAGAAGACCAGGGTTTCTTGTCGCCCTGGTTGTGGTTATCATTTACACGTCAACCAGCTCTCGGGAGCTTTTGTCCCCAAGGCCCCACAGAAGACAATTTCTCTCCTCACTCACCTGTGTGGGGCCGCTCCCACCTGTTCGGTTTCTGCCGCCCCCTTTCAATCCAAGCCTGCCTTTTCTAACTGACTTCCTGGGCCTCGGAGGCCCAGTTCTTTGTAGCCACCAACCAAAGCCTTTACATGCCCCAAGCATTCTGGACTCCTTCCTGATTCCCGAAGGGCCCCTACTAATCCCTAGGTTGAAAAGTCAGAGGTTCCCGTTGATTTGCTGTGACCTGTTTGCTGTCTTTGGGTTTGTGTTCCTTAGAAATGATGTTCCATTTTCTACGCGCTTCCCTCTTACTGAACCGCACTCAGAATAAACGCGGTAGGTTTCGACATGGGAAAGCTTTGGCTGTTCAAACACGCACACCTGCTGGCGTTCACATCCACGGACTGGCCGCACGCCGATGTTTGCAGAGTCCTTGACAGGTCTGGAAAGCACTCCCCCATCGATCATTTTCAGTGGTAGAACAGAATAAGGACTATTCCACCAAGCCTAATTCTCGAAGTGTTTCATTTTCTTTTAAATCATGTTAGATTTCATTTCTACAAATACAACCTGGGCCCTGGTTTGCCTAAAATGATGCTTACAGTGTAGGAAAAATGAACAGTGTTTGGAGAGCAGTGGAATTAGAATGGGTTACACGAGTAAAATGAAGATTGTAATGTCTTGGCGCATGACAACCCAGACCAAGGCAGGAAAGAGCTGGAGAGCACTGGACCGGGAGGACAGTACCTGGGTTCTGATTCCAACTCCACCACCCGCTAGTGGTGGGACTTTGGGAAACATCATTGAATTTCCTCTTTTTAACCACATCTATGTTTTCCAGGTTCACCAAGACAAGAGAACCACCCAGAGGGTCTTCAAAAACCAGATTCGTAGCCCTCAGCCCAGTCATACTGAATTATGGGAATCTCAAGGGCAGGGATACGCAACACACACACACACACACACACACACACACAC